AATTTTAAAAAGGGAAAAAGTTAATCCAATTTGGAAAGTAAGAACAAAGCCAGACAATCTTCTCCTTTTGTAATTCAATTTGCAACATGATGTGCACTAAAAGCTACTAACTTTCTTCACACATCACACTAAACTATGTGTTTGTTTAGCTTAGACTCAGCACAGCTTGTGAACTCAGCCACTGTAGCTTCTAAAGTAGGGTTTATGGTAGGGCACACAGCTTTCAGCTTTGTAGGACATACAAAAAAAGGTAGATGCAGAACAAAGAAATGACAATGGCAGGTCAAAAACTAAATGCAATTTAACCAAATTTACATCTAAATTTAAATAGTAAATTAATTTAATTAGTAATTCCCCTAAGTCAGATGAAATAGTTAGAAATTATTAATTTTTCCTATCTCATTAAAATTCCTATTTGATGCCAACTTTTGGAGAGTCTCTGGAAGCTTTCAAAGAATCTATATGGCAATAGTTTCTAGCATAGCATAATGTGTAAGCCAGGCCACTATGGTTTGTTCATCAAACCCAGTTACAAAAGGCCATGGTCTAAAGTAATATAAAACTCATATTTTAAATACCCCACTAGGTCTTCAGCATCTGCTTCAAGTAGACACAATAGGATATCTGTCCAAGAGAAACTTGGATGCACACTTCACAATGGTCTCTGTGATTCTTATATAAGGTTTCTCTGCTATGCTTGTGCAGAAGGCCATTTCAGTATGAAAGCCTAAGCTTTGGGGTGGGAGCTCTGACCCATTCTGCAACACACATTGTATTATGCTGCCCATTCCTCAGTTCTTTACTGACCACCACAATGTAGACCTTCAGTTGTTCCTTCTTTGTTTACTCAGTGTTTGTTCAGTGTCTTAAATCTGTATGGCACTTGAAAGCATCTTTTCAAGATGTCAGCAAAGTGGTACTAAACTTCTACCATAGGACTGCCACTCTTGGTGTCTGAACTGTTTTGGCAAAGGATCCCACCGACAGGCTTTCTCCAGACAGGCCTGGTAAAATTGATCCTCATTTTTCAGCAGGTCTTATGCTCTGCAGTTTCCATTGCCAAACTGACTCCAAAGAGAGCTGATTCCACTGAATCAAAGTGTAGATTCACCTAGGTATAGATTCACCTGCTCATTCAGTGGCCTCAGTTCCACTGAATGAGCAGGTGGCCTTGTCAGCATTCCCATATCCTGGTAAATCACTTGAAATTAAGCTTTCATCCTCGAGGGCCCAGGCTGGTCACACTGTGGGATGCAGCTCTAAGCAGATGGTGTATACTGTCAGGGTCAACCAGGTACTTAGGGATAAACTATTCCCAGAGTTGCAAGTGTTGTTTCGTGCACAGTTACTAGTGTCTTATTTTGTTGGAACTATCCCTTTAGTAACAGAATGTATGTTGTGGGAAGAGGAGAGGAACAAAAATAAATTAAGGAATTGCAAATTAAAATAAATCACGTCCCTATTTGTCATCCTGACATGTTGACAGTTGTGTTTCAAGGCTTCAAAATAGAGCTTATTACTTATTAATCTGAAGGTTTGTGTCATTTGTTCCTAAATATGAATTTATGTTTTGACTCTTCACTAAGGAGTTAAGCAAAATTCAAATCAAATCAATTTCTATAAAGATAAAAATGAATCAAGCACCATGGTAATTTTCTTATCTAGAAACCATGGGATATGAAACTCATTTTCTGAGCATATAAGCATCATCTGATCAATTCAAGTTTATTATGGGCTAGTAGCTGGGGAGACTGGCAAGGTAGAGAAGAAAATGTCTGTATTATTAATGTAGTTTTATCCTCATGACAAACTCTCACCTTGATGAATCCCACTGTTCTGCTTCAAACAACAGCTGTGAAGCTTTTTGGTTGTGCAGGCCCTGATCATCTTCCTTGCCCAGTTGTATCACTTTAAAGAAATTAAGTGGAAGGCGTACACAAGGTCTTACTGGCATAGACATCTAGACAAAAATACTGTGATTTTAACCCACTGATCAAATCCTTTAAATCAGTTAATATAAATTAAAAGGCATTCACTATCAATGTTAAACCAAAAATGAAGCTGCATGTTGTTAAATAGGGCTATGCAACATCAGTCAGACACAAAGTACCATTAAGCAATCTGATAAATGCTTTATTCTGTCATTGGCTCCTAAATGAAACTTTGTAAACATGGCTTAAATTTACACAAGGTCTTATTGGTCAGTAGCTTAATAAAACAAAGAGAATTAATGAAAAAGAAAAGAACTTACTTTGATGCAGCAATCTTTGCAGATCACACTAAAATAAAAAGTTAATACTTCAATTGTAGCAATAGCAATTGAATAAAAACAGAAATAACAAAGGAGTTGAATAAAAAGAAAAAAAAGGAGTTACAAAACAAGCCACACTTAAGGTAGAAAATAAGTTGCAGGACTGAGAAGTTGGGTTGTTGTTTTTTTCCTGATGCCTGCCTGATCAATTGCAGGTTTTCCCACAAAGAAAAGATCCCAGCTACCAAGCCTTTTATGAAATGCTTTTTTGCAGCCAACTCTGAATTTAACCATCATATATCCAGAAATGAAAATCTCATCTCATTTTGGGGGAAACCAAACAAAGAACATAGTGTTTGCCATTGCAGTGCCAAACAATTATCTTTTGGCTGTGCAACAACTGGAGGAGACAGTCAAATTTTCTGGGAGATAGAATAATAGAATAATAGATTTGGAAGGCACCATTTAGGTAGTGTTTTTCAAACCTGGCAACTTCAAGATGTGTGGACTTCAAGTCCCAGAATTCCCCAGCCAGTTGAAGTTCACACATCTTAAAGTTGCCAAGTTTGAAAAACATTGATTTAGGGCATTGAGTCCAGCCCCTGCTCAGTTCAGGAATTTAAATTAAAGAACTTCAGATTTCATAGCAGCTGGAGAAGGCAACCACACAGTCTTGGGGAAAGATGTGGCTGATTTAGAGTTGCAGATAGAGGCTGTGATTGTACTCTGATGCCCTCTAAATATTCTCCTTTGGGTAATAAAATCTGAAGTGAGCACAGCCATGGTAAATATTCTATTTCCATGTTGTTGTTCTGTGACTTCAGGAAAAAATAGTAGGAGGATTAGATCTAAGATTGCATTATTGGAAGTTTCCACTACATAAATGGAAGTTTGTTTGCCTTACTTTCCCTCATTCTGAAATGTCTCAAATCCATTTCAGAGGCTTCCTGAGCTCTATTGCATATTTAGAAGTGTATCCAAGAGAATAAGTAATATGTTTCACCGGCAGTTTCTGTTTTGCTGGCAGGCTGACAGCACTGAATCAATTCACAAAATATGATATCTGTTTAATAATCTTTTAATCTTCCCAGTAAACTGAGTTCTCTAGGTGAATAAGGAAATCGCATATTAAAACAACAGAAACAATTGAATAATTAAACATATATTCAGTACATAGTAGGTGGTGAAAGGGGTGCTTCTTAAAATGTATCTGGGCAAGAGAGACACTCTCTCCTGAAAGATTAAAGCTGTCGCATCCTTTGAAAAGCTAATGCAACTGCTTTAAAGACTTTCCCAGTTCTTTTGCATAGCCCTAATGAATTATAGGGCTGTGTCATGCTTCTGATTCAGGAGTGGTGCTTTGGAATGGGTGGGAACATGAACATAGCCCCTGTCTGTGGTTTATTTGCCAAGATTGGGAGCTTCCCCTCAGCAGCCATGCAATCCTGGGAAATGACACAGGGGCTTTAAAGCGTTGGAAGCAGGGGCTGCTTTTGCACCCCTGCACATTCAGCCGCACTTCTTTTCAATCAAATCCAAAGCATTTAACAGCCCTAATAATAAATAATACCTCAAAGACATGAGAAGAAACACATATAAAAGCTACTGTCCCAGGGTAACAGGCATTTTAATTTTTTCCAAAAACCTAACCATAAAAATTATAGGCAAAAAAAAAAAACGTTTTTGTCTTGCACAGCAATTTAATCATAAAAAGGCTGTTTGCTTACCTACTACAGAGATGACACATATAGGGCCATATAAAGAACTTGTTGTTACAAAGGAGGCAAAGCTGTAGGGGGGAAATTTTGACAAGTGATCAGATTTGTTTTTTATAATATGATAAAAATAAATGCAAGTAATAACACCCATATATAGAATGAAGAATGTTTACAGATTAAAGTGTGGGCTACAGTTTCTGGAGTAATTTTATAGCTATATAAACCATCCCTTCCAATCACTGAAAAGACTGAAAATAGCTTTGCATTATGGAATTTTACTTTATTGTATATAATTTGCTCTGCACCAAATGTAGACTGAGGAAAAGGCAAAAAGTGAACTCCGGTATGCTAGACAAATTGTTTTCCTCAAGATATTCCCACCAGGAATACTGATATTTTTTGCATGCTTAATCTGAGTGAAAAATCTGTATGAGATATAGAAAACACTAGCAGAAATTAATAAGATATGCCAATGTATCACGAAAGGGAATGGGACATTTTATCTCATTTCCCCCTCTTTTGGGTGGAGGGAAGGGATAGATTTTTTTAAAAAATAAAATGGGGCACATTAAAGTTATCTACTCTGGTATTTGGGAGAAAAATAGAAAATGGCAAGCCACCTTGGGAAAGAAGCTTCAGGGTTCTACAAAAAAGGAAGACGGAGACTGTCTGCAGTCCACACACTGCCCAACCCTGATCTATTGGCACAAGGATTAGTACAGGAGAACAAAGTTAACTAGACAAACCAAGTCTTGCAAAAGCCAACATACTTACTAAACATTAAGGATATGGATACTTGTGTCTGTTTTTAATAAATATTAACAAACCAACCAAAGTGTACTTCCTCATATTAAGAAATTACCTCAGCCCTTGAAGGCACATTGCCTCTTTCTCTTTGGCAAGAATCTTTTATTTCTAAATATCTTGTTCCCATCAAATCTGCAATGCTTGGTAATGACCATCTTGAACATGTCTGATTGTAAGGAGATGACAACTATAAATTAAAGGAAGACATTCATAAACTGTTAAATTTTTAATAAAACCAATCCCTCTGGAATTTAGTGATAATTTAGTAGTTAATGAAAAGTTTTTAGTTTGATATGAGTAGCTTAAAAAATAAGAAATTCAAACGAAACACTCAGGACCAACTATAGCCATATTTCTGTAAACTTAGGAAGTTACACAATGCTCATATTTCCCTCCAAATTGAGGATAATGGTATTTCCTGTTAATACACTCTATTTAGATATAAATTCAAGAATTGCACATCTTTAATTATGTGCACACAGAAAAGACACAATGCATTGTAGGGTTCTGTGGGGCTTCAGAGCTAAATCCAAAAAAGAGAAGTAGCAGCAAGAAATCCCCCAAACCACTGACATTTCTCTAGCATTTCAGCATGAAGGTTTAGATATACAAATGGGTGTTGAAAAAGGACAATAGATAGGTGTCATCCTAGTTTATTCTTGCCTTGGTTCCTGATCCCCTACCATCCTTACATAGCTCTCCTAGTTTTATCTTTAGTTCCAGATCTGACTGAATCCAGCTCAGTGCTGTTTTTTCAGATTTTGAGAAGTCTATTGTGTTGATGTTTTGTTCAGAGAAGATACTATCATGTGGAGAATTCAAGATGAACTTCTGAATATCTCCTGCAGAAAAAAGAACACACAGACAAAAATATAAGTAAAAATGTTAAACTATTGTGGCTCTCTTCAGAGATAATAGGATACTTAAGATTAGTCAATTCTCACTACATACAGCAGAGAATATATGATGTTATAACATACAGTATGTCTGGTTCAAATATTTAGCTTCTGTTATCTAAGAACCTCTTATGCTTCTTCCAGGGTTCCATACTGATTAAGCATTTTTTCATACCTTACAAGTTCACTGGAAAAAAGCAAAATGCTGGATGTATTTTTTTACAAGTTTACTGATGTAACAATGACAAGGTAGATCTTTTTTTAAAACAAGTTTATTGATAGAAGGTGGACCTGTCTTTGCTTTTTTTAAAAAAATAAAAGAAGAGGTGAAATTGACCAGAATACTGCCACTTTCTCCTTATAGCCCAAGTGACAGGAAAAATAGTAAAATGGTGGTATTTTCCAGGAGGGATAAAAGAAAAGAGGAATCCACCAATCAGAGTCATAATATTGCACAAAAAGGGCTTGCCAAAAGAGCCAATCCCGCCTATAAGGACGACAGCTCTTCTTTTTATTCCTTCAACTTCATGTAAGCATCCCAAGATATCTGCATTATCAAGAATGTCATCCTGGTTAACAGTTGGAACATACCCTTATAATTGTTGCTAGCTTTCTGTACAAAGATTGGTCGAAGTTTGGGTGGATTTTTCACTTCCATCATGAGCCGATCATGCAGGCTGAATTCTTGGAAGACTTTCTCCTTCAATTTCCGTGCTGATACCTAGCAAATACAGTGAGTTACAAATGGAAGATGGTGGTATCTCTAAGGCTGGACCAGGGCCTTGCAGCCCATAAGACTGCCAAATTCAGCACCATAGTTAACTTAAAAAACAAATTAAGAGCACAGGTCTTATCTATCCTATCTCCTCCTCCTTCTCCCTTCCTATGGGATCTCTAGTGAAATGATGATGCTGGCATGATTGCAGCATTGCTCTGTAAAGAAAAAAAGGGAAAGAAAAAGTGTGATGCCACTTTCCGGCGTGATGGGAGGATGTAGACAGAGAGAGAAGAACATTGAGAGCGCTAGAAGTGAGTAAGGAGGAAATAAAATTTAAAAATGGAAAGACTTGCACATGTGGTGGTGGTCCCAGAGATCAACATGCCTGGGGCCTCTTCTATCCTCGTTAACCATTGATAGAAGATGTCTCCCAAATTAGACAGTGCAAGTGCACAATAAACGCTGAATCTGATATGACCCATTACTTACTGCATGGAGGCTGTAGCGTTTGTTTTTGATATCATCCACCACCATGCTGTAGGATGAATGGATCCCTTCTCCTGGAGGAACACTGTGCAGAGTTTGCTCCATGGCCTTCTGCAGCCTCACACTGTTCTGCAAGTAACCAAGTACATCCTACCACAAGCCATCCTGAAATGGGGAGGCCCAGCTTGAGGCTTTACATCAGCCTGCAGGTATATCATGTTGTATTTAATGTAAAGTATGATTGCTGAAATACAAGTGTTGTGTATTAAGAAGTTTTTGTTGTTGTTATACGGACCAGTATTCAGGTTTTCCACTGATATAATATGCTAAAATACTAATAGATGGGAGGGATTCATAATCTGAAACAGACAAAACATCGGCCTTATTTCATAGCTCAATAAGCATCCAAAAATTATTCTACCAGGGAATTGAAACTCCAGCTCACCAGTGAGCCATTCCAACTGTGAGGATTCATATGAATCCCTTCCCTCATCAATGGTAGCTCACCAATTTCAGTTTCCTGATGGGGAAAGCATTAGTGTTAGCGTGAAGCCCACACTTGCCAGTTCCTGATGGGCGATAGCTGGTTCTTCCCCAGCCATCACCCACCAGAAGACAGGAGTGGGGGGCAAATACTATGTGGGAGAATGAGGAATTTTCTATGTTTAGGATGTTTAGGTGAGCCCTGGACAGTAACTCCAGGCATTTAAAACCCAGGGTCAGATTCTTACTGATCGTAAAAGACACAGACAGCTAGAACCGTTCTTGCACGGAATCTTCTGACGTGTTATTTGTTCAAAGCTGATCACTCTTATTCATCTAACTGAAGGGAGGGAGGTGGAAAAATAATTCAACCAGCAGTTAACAGAGTTATGAATTATAAAGATTGGGAAATAGAAGCAACTTTTTTCCAGCTGAAGTCTAGGTGCAATTCTGACAGACTGCAGAAAGTGTTCTCTCAGGATGTGATATAGCCTTAACTAGGCTCTGCCTAAATATATCTTAAATTTAAAAAATACAACATTTTCTCACTAAATGAAACGTCATATGTATACTTAAGCATACTCATTTGTCAGAAAATTCAGTTAAGTTCATTAAGACTAACTATTGAATAAACATTTATAGACCTGAGATGCAAATTGTGTTCCGTTGTCCCTGAACCTCCCCCTCTCAGGAAACAGCTTACAATAATAGATTAGATGGCACTCCTAATGAGGTATTTTAATGAATAAGGAAGAACTTCAGCTTTTGAACATTACTCAGCTTCAAAGCCTGATTATATGAGATACTGGCCAAGAGGTTCCCATAAAGTATTAGCTTTTTGCTGGAAAACTAGTATTAAAAGTAACAAAAGTATAAATAAAAGTATCCATACCCAATTGTTTGTCTTCTGCCTGGCAGAACAGTCTTCAACATCCATTCTTCCCAAATACTGAAAGACATTAAAAGATACTCCTTAGTTTGCTCAGTGTAAACTTTTTGATTGCCTTCTCCACAATTTTTCCTCTAATTTCAAAAGAAAAATGATAGTGGGATGAAGTGAAGTAGTGATAAAGAAGGATTTAACTACTGGGTTCTCGCATCCCCCAAATACCTCTTTGCAACTCTGTATGGTTAACATGAGTTTCTGAAGCTCAATGTACTCAGAGAAGAGCATTTGGCAGATGGCTGTATAGTGACTGGCAGCTTCGGAAGGTCTGTGGAAGTGATCCTCACAGATCTAAAATGGACAAATGGTAATCAGTTCTGGACCCAGGTTCAATTAAGTTCATTGAACAAACTACTGAATTTATAGACCTGAGATGCAAATTGTGTTCCATTGCCCCTGAACCTCTCTCCACTCAGGGAACAGTTTATAATAATAGATTAGAAAGCATCAGAAATTATTTTATCAGAAAGGTATTTTAGTGAGTAAGGGAGCACAGCAGCTTTTGAATGTTACTCAACATAAAAGCCTGTTTATTTGAGACTCACTTATAATACAACTTTCAATTTAATCAAATTCTATAAGAGGCATAGTAAAAAGAAAGAAAAATGAACATACTCAATATATTCTAGAAGAAAATAATAAGAGATTAGACGCTGCAGAACATCAATCTATTTTGTCTGCTGCCTTTCAAAACTGATACAAAGAGAACAAATAAAGAAACTGAACCCATACCCAGGCTGTACAAACTCTTTCTGATCAAGAGCTACTCTTGCCTTGTGTGGTGCACTGGGGAGTCCTCTAAAACATAGACAGAGCCAAGTCAAATAAATAGAGGACTATATCAGGAGATAAGCTTGATTCTACATAAAACTAAATTTAACTAAATACAATTATTATGCTACATCCCAGATATTTAATAAACTGAAGGGGAAATCACTAAATATCTGAGATGTAGTATAATTACAGTTTGATGGGAAAACATAAAGTTGGTCCACAGGCTCAATTCAGGTTGATTTAGCATATAAATCAGAGGTGGTGTGACATAAGAAGATATTACAAAAAGCAGCCATCTCCAGCTTGCTGCTCTGCAGGTATAGTAGACTACAAGCCCCAGAATTTCTGCTGGAAGAGCCAAAAACCAAACAGAAATGTGTTCAACCCATTCTCCACACACACTTCAGTTCTTTGTTCAAGGAACTACAATAAAAATACAGGTAGTCTCCAGTCTAAGAATGAGTTCTGTTCCCAAGGTCTGTCCTTAAATCAAATTTGTACCTAAGGTGGAACAATATTATTGTATAATACTGTAAAAGTAGTATTATGTAATGAACTTGAACCATTGTGTATTTAACTCAAATCATTCTGTGTTTAACTTGAATTTTGCTACAATAGGCTCTGTTCTTAGCTATGGGTCACCTGTAACCTGGGTGTTCTTAATCTGGGGACTACCTGTAACAAAACTCCAGATTAGCAGACCTACACTGACTGCAGAGTGTGAACAAAGTAAGTCAAACAAATCTACCAAATGAAGCAAATGTGTGTTGAAATAAATCTAAATCAATCAATCTATCTATCTATCTATCTATCTATCTATCTATCTATCATCAATATTCTATAGATTCTTA